GGGCACTCCCCACAGCCACCATTGAACCCAATGCTGGGGACTCAAACCAAAGACATTGCTGGAAGACAGTGAACAAGTCCCTCGGCCTTGGGAGGCCACTGCACCAAGTGGTGCCAGGCTTTGATTGCTAGCCGCCCGGCGGCGAACTCTGGGGTTTTTAGGTTATGTAGTTGCTGCCTGGGGACACCCATGAATAAGGCCAGTTTTAATGTAGGTGAGAGGTGAATTTTGGGTGATTCCCAGTGACAGGGTCATGAAAGTTTCAAGTATGCATGGGGACTGAGACCAGATGGTTTGGAGGGAAGTATCCATAACATAATTTGGGTTAGACTGATTCACCAGCCCAATTAGGAATTCAGAGATGGACTGTCAGCATAGAGCATGACTGATGACCACACACCAGTCTACACCAAAGCTATGGATGGGGGCCTGTTTGGCAAGGTTGGGTACCATTACCCGACTAAGTGGTGGAGTGGTCACATTTGGCAGGGTCAAAACATGATCCAGCACGCAAGAGAACTTGGTCTGGAGTAGACTCCGTAGGGTTATATGGGCCCAACCCTGTAGTAATACAAGTCCCTCTGGTTAGCTCACAAGCTGGGGTTGCGATGGACTAAGCTAGGCGTGACCATGGCACCTGCCATCACTTAGAGGTAAAGCAACCCACAACACTCTGGGCAGGTCAAGGCAGCAGCACCCAAATGTGCATCCTAAAACAGGATGTGTGGTTGGCAGGACTGCCACTGGAAGGGTAAGAATGAGCAAGGTTGAACAAACCTTACACTCACAAGGAAGAAAAGAAATCTGGCTAGAGCACAGGTCATGCCGAGTAGGCCCTTGCACTTTTGATCTGCATGAGCCAGGGATGCTAAGCCACAGCATCATAGGCAGGGAGCAGGACAGGTGAGGGGCTCTGCCAAGCAAAGTCAGGGCAACCACTGGCCTGCGCATTATCCAAGGCTGTGAACAGGCCCGGTCGGAGAGCAAGGGGACACCCTAGCTAGGTTGAGTTTCCCACCAAGGAGTGCATGGGCTGGAATCGGGGCTGCGTTCTGATCAGGATATGACTGTAATCTCACATAGCACAAGTGTGGACTGGGACTGAAAGCACCAAACCGGCCTAGACTCTGGCACCATTTTGTGCTCTGGAGGACCAGGATAGAAGTGTGACAGACTAGGCTAGGTCTCAGTCCTTACTGAACCATGTGTGAGCTGTATGTGGGTATGGGAGAGCCATGGCTGGGTTGAAACATCCAACAGCAAGAACCAGACTGGGTTGAAGGCCAGTCAGGAAAAGCCACTGTTCCTGCTAGGGCAGGATGTGAACTGAGAAGGGCTGGCTCATGGATCCACTGGTATGCACAAAATCTGGCATTGGGAGAGATTCTGATGGAGGAGCCTGGGCAACTCCTCTGGCAGGACACAGACCCTGCAGGTAAGTGCAAGAAGCACAATAGGAAACAGCCCAGAACAGGCAATGGAAATTATCCCACTGGCATACACTTGGCATGGGCTGGGGACAGACCAGGCTGAACCTGTTCACATCACCCACTGATGAATCCGAGCAACAGAACAGAGTGTAGGTCGGGCCAGGTTCGGTTGCGACACATACCAGTACACATTAAGGAATACCAAGGTGTAATAAGCCATACCAGATCTGGTTGCAGCACCTAAACAGCGCATGTGAAAACCAGGGGGAGGAACCAAGCTGACAGGGGAATGTGGGCTCCCCTGCTGGAAAACTACTTCCATTGGAAACCATGAGTCAGGATGGGGGCAGATCAGACTAGGCAGGGCTATAACACCTGTGGGCCTCATGTGAGGAAGACAAGAGAAGGGCCAGGGTGGGCTGACTGTTTCTACTGGTGCAAGCAAAAATTAGAGTGGCTGAGCTAAGCCACAGTATCAGCTGGCAGAGGCCGGCACTGGGAGCTAATTCTGTCAAATCAAATGCCAGAACCACCTAGAAAGTGCATAATCTGGGAGTGGGAGTGGCCTAGTAGGGAGATAGCGGGCACCTCCTTGGGGTTACCACTCTCACTGGACAGCACGAAAACCAGGACAGGGGCAGGGGTGGCTAGACAGAAAGGCACCTGCCAGTATGTGTGGGCTGGATGGTAGGTTGGTTGGATTAAACTAGGCTTCAATGCCCTTTGACAAGTATGAGAGCTGATGGGGATGTGGGACAGACTAGGCATACTGTGCATACGGTGCATACTGGCAAGCATGGGAACCAGGGTAGGGGGCAGGGCTGGTGGGGGTTATGGGGAGTTGCCCCAACTACGCTGCAGCTCCCACTGGTTTGCATGAGGGCCGAGTATAAAGTGGGTAGGATCAAGTTGGACTACAACACCCACTGGTTCACAAGGAAGACAGGGCTGGAAACAGAACTGACCCAGCAATTGCAATGACCAACAAGTGCATAAGCTGATTGGTGTGACAGACAGTGCTGGACCCTGTACTAGCAAACTCATGCAAGAATCAGGTCTGGGATCACCTCAGACGAAGTTTCTTTGAGATCCCTCCAACTGAACTGCTGATCTCAGAATCCCAACCATGAAGAGACCATGTCAGCCAGGGGATTCTGAATAGGTTTCATCACAATTGGAACAGCGAGATTGGCAGCAATTCAGAACTGTTCAACTATCAAAACTGCTTGAGCAGGACTTTTGGAGCGCACCTCACATCAGGGACTTGGGATGAGCAGGAGGCTGGGTGGGGCTTTTCCCTTTGTTTCTCCCCTAACCCCAGATACAGGGAAAAAATGATAATATTAGTGTGGAAACAATGGTATTACCCACTTTCACCCTGTAGCCCTTGACCCTTTGTACCCTAATCAACTAAGTAAGATTATTTGAAAATAAATAAATAAATCTTTTTTAAAAAGTAAAAAATATAGTCAGGAACCACATATATTCAGATGACTTTGGTATACAACAAAAGAGATGGCACTTTCTGCTCAAGTTTCATAAAATAAAAAGGACACACGTGCCAACAGAGCCACCAAGTAACAGGCTGATGCCAAACACACTGACTGCATACTTGAAATGCTTTGTACAGAAACCTTATGCTTTCCTGTGGTCTCCACTGTAGTTTCAGTGTGGTGATCTCATGGAGAAATGACACTACAGTATTACTTCATACAGCATTGGCAGTTTTTATTTCCCTACCTACCCATAGTAGTAAAATTTAACAAATCAATAATTTTAGGGTAAGAAGGTACTTATCAAATATACCCACAGACACCACTGAGTTGGTGTGCAAAGGCAATACAGACAAAGAGAAACAAGTCCCCTGAAGCTGTGGAAACTGGGTTCCAATCTTGACTTCGTCGCTTCCTTGTTCAGACAACTTTGGGAAGAATAACAAACTCTAAAAGCTTCCATTTCCTCAGCTACAAATGGTGCTCAAAGCAATATTTTACCAATGATTATACAGGCACCCAATAACAGCACCAATTTCATATGATTACTGGAGGTTTAAATAAGAATGCTTGTGAGACATGCAGTAAATGACCAATGATGACTAGCTACCAGCCTCCCCCAACTTCATGAGATGCGGACATCTAAAAAGTCACAACCTCTCTGCCAGCTCCATTTACAATCTTTCAGAAAACTAACAACTTCGGTAGAATTTTCCAGGAGAAAAAAAAAATTGCTTAAGGGACTTTTTAAGGGGCTTTTTTTAAAGGCTGTCTTTCTAAATTTCTATTATTTTTCCTTTACTGTAAAAAAATTACAATACTTCATTTTTCAGAATTGACCATTAAGTTTAATTATCTGTTTATAAGCCACTCTTAGATATCAAATTCCCTTATTTATTTCTATAAAGTAAAGATACCAATGAGACACCTATGACCCTTAAAATACGATCTTTTTAAAGATAAAAGTCACTTAATCTCAAAATACCTACGGGTGGTTATATGAAGGGAAAAAACTTGTTGGAGACTTCAAAAAATATCCTCATCTATTGTTTTTACCATGAAAATCACAAAGTCATCCGTATCTCAGTGGAAAACATCCTGAAGGAATAAATTAACCACTTTTCACAGTTCTTTAAACGCATTTAGAAAACTTGAAGAAATCAATAAGCAAAATAGATGATTACAGCTACTAACCAAATAAAAACTGATTTTCTATGGTGCAATACTCTGGCCAACAATACCACTCTACAATAAAGCAGAAGGAACATCAGCAGAAAGCTCTGAACTCAGATCTCAGCCTGGCCCCACAGACAAGTCCCAGCCTGCAGGCCTCAGTTTGCCCACTTGTGAAATCAGTTGAGTTGCACACGCAGTGCTGGTTGAATGCCTATTAAGTACCGAGCCCTACAACAGCAATGAAAGTTTACCATCAGCTTTGTTGTAAGTAAATCTAATCTTGCTAAAAGACTAATGCGATGTGAACAAATGCTATAAACAAACTGCTATGCCTGGAAAAAAAAATTAAAGGCTGTAGCAGAAGGGACCATCAGTGAAGAGATGGAAATTATGAGTATTCCTCGAACAAATAAAAGTTTAATGCACAAGAAGCAAGAAGAGACTTAATGCATGTAATTTGTAAGCTAGGAGTCAGAGGAAAAAATAAGATAAACTTAGAACCTTACTTTACATGCCACCCTATGGAATTTGACCTGTAAGCAATGATAAGCCATTTACACATTATCAGTAAGTTTCCTGCCAAACTAACTTACAGAGTTAAGACTAATCAGATGAATTTCTTCACTTGAAGTTATGAAGTCTCTTCAAGCAAAAAAAAAAAGAAAGAGAAAAACTATGCAAATTGTAATGTTGATAGTGTGAACCCAACACAACTCCTAACTAAATTCCAGCATTAGCAAGGTACACAACATGTGACTGACTTCTGCTCTTTATCAAACACAAATTCTGCAAAATAGTAAAATCTGCATGCCCCCAATATGCTTTTTCATAGTTCCTGCCAATCCAGCTTCACCATCAGTATCACTGTGAAACACTGAAGAGAATGCCAAGTCCAGGTTACCTGTGTTCTGCAGGAACAGGTGGTGGCCACACAGCCGGGTCTCGAAATGGCTCTTCTTGACAGGACACAGGGAAATCTGGGGGCTTGTCGATTTTGAAACTTTCTAAAGTACTGACAATACTTTTAACTTGCTCATATTCTTCCAATAATTCCTGTCGAACCTTAAAAAAAAAGAGGGGTTTATGCTAGAAACTGTTTAAAGAACATGTGCGCTATAAATAATAAACTGTAGGTTTTAATGCCATTTAAAGCATGCAAAAAAGGAACTGTTCACGCATATTCAAAAGCACACACACACAAATCTAAAGCAACAGAGAGAAGACTGGTTTAACACAAGACAGAGTTCTATGCTATTTTATAAGGGGAATAGCTACAGATCTCTCCCAAGAAAATTTCTTCAACCAAGATTTGTATGATCATGAATACAAATCATAACAAGCAACTAGCTGGAAACAAATTAACCACCCCCAGAAATCTGTAATATTATACTGAAGCTTGTTAATATGTCTATGAATATGTTACAAAAAGGTGTCAACGTTTTCAACAGCATTTCCAATACCCAATATTACCAAATTCAAAACGTCTGTCAAGAGTGCCCGAGGCCCAGAAGCTACATGTTATGAATTATATACTTTGGATTTGTATTTAAGTTCTCCACCTGAAATCTGACTTACTTGTTTAAATTTTCTGAAGTCCTGAGTGAAGTTCATTTTAGCTTTTTCAAAGGCAAGATTTTTGCCTACATTTACAAAAACTTGGCTGAACATCTATGTAGAAACGCTTTTGTTTTCAAACTCTGATCCCAAAATAATTTTCAAAAGCAAACAAAAAAATGGATAATTACATGTATACATTCATTTTAACAATTTTATATTTTACACCAGAAAGCATATTTTACTGTAAAGCAGTGCCTAAGAAATTTCCCCTTATTTTTATCTTGAAAAATATATTGAACAGAATATTGGAGTTCCAGAGCCAAAGAAAAACCTAACTGAAGTTCAATTGATAATGTATGCCTAAGTATAATAAGCTACACTAACAGAAAATAAAACTTCAGAGCTTGATGGAAAGAAACAGAGTAGGAAGACCTAAATAGAAACAGTCATTACTTAACACACACAGTTAAAAACACGAAAACCGTATTTCCACAACAGATTAACGGGCAACCCTGCACGTGACTACTACGAAAAAATGGAACTAGGAACCAAAATTGTGGCAACGCCAAAATTGTTGCAAAGACAGCATCCTATTTTAGAGGGCCAGGTCAAGTCCCAGATGCTCTGCTTCTAATCTTGCATTCCTGCTAATGCTCCTGCAAAGGGAGCAGGAGAAGGCAACGGTACTTGGGTCCCTTGCACCCAAGTGGGAGGACAGAAAGGAGCTGCAGGCTTCTGGTTCGAGCCTGGGCCAGCCCTTTGCAGTCATCTGGGGAGGGAACCCGGGGATGGAGGTTGTTCTCCAGATCTCTGTCTCTGCCCCACTCCAGCCCTGCCTCCCTCTCTGTTTCCTTCTGTCTTTCAGACATGTAAGTAAGCTAATCTTTAAATAATAATAATAAAGAATAATTACAATTTTAGCTTGAATTTGGGCAAGTTCATTGTTCTCACTCAACATGAGTTAGTGGCATTTAAGTTGGAAAATAAACCAAATTTACCCTCAAACTCAGTAAAACATCAATTCCTGATTAGTGGAAAAATTGGAACACTTGAAAGGCATTAGTACATAAAATGGAAACTTCAAAGAGATGCTTGACTTTGTACTTTTAATTTTAAAAGGATTTTAACTTTTTATAATAAGTAGGAAAATTACAATTCAACTTTTATTAACTGTTATTATATAATCAAGTTGTAAAGTCAAAAGACAGCAAAAGTATTAATTTTTTTATTAGATTACTAACTTATTTGCTTAAAAGCCTTTCAAGGAAAATATTCCATGAAATGAGTCAAACTACATGTAAAAACAAGAGAGAGAAAGGTGAAGGGAAATATTATAAAATTCAAAAACTTGTAGTCACACATGATTAGGTAATTGACCGTGTAATTTTAAAAAATAAATTCAGTTAGAATATAGAAAATAATAACTAGATAAGTCACAGGAAATTATTCAGACTGCATTTTAAACATATTTCATTATTTAGACAAGTAAGAACAATTTGCAAAGTCTCATACCTAATTTTCCAACTCTAATTTTCAAGCACAATCAACTTTGGCATTCCTCCTTCACTGAACATTCTGCTGTGATCTTACCTGCTGCCATTTGCCTTTGACAGCTGGGTCTCTGATTGATTGGCAATGTCTCTGAATCTGCTGGATGACCCCCTGGTAATACACCATTGATGAGTCATAATTTCCAAGAAGTGCATATTCTCTTCCTTTCTTTGCGTTGTCACAAATCTCAGCCAAATTCATTTTTCAGAGACCTAAACATAAAACATAATGGCTTTTTAAAATGCTTTCATCACTGACTTCAAAATATTTTTAATTATTCTGCAAAATATCTGCTCAAAACATGTTGAAAGTCCAAATAGTTAGCTTTCATTCTTTGAAGTTATCTAACTGTACCTTATAATATTAAAAAAAAAAATTCAATTTTGGAAGCACAAAGCAAATCACAAAGGAACAACTCAGGAGACAACATAAAGAGATGTAACTCAGCTCTACCCAATGCTCTGTGGGTACAGCAATTAGATATCAGCTTTCCAGGCGCATTTATAATCAATACAAGCTACAACCATAAAAAAGACCATCTCACATTGTGTGATTCAATCTTGAAAGCACAAAAATAAGAATATGAACATCACATAAACGTATGAATCTTATATTTATACACTGATGCAGTTGGAACCATGGAATTAGGCTACTGCTAGAACGTATGGCCCTAACATTGAAAGTCACACTTAGAGAACACACACTTGTGCATGCATCCTCTACATGCATTTAATTGCCTCATACAAATAAAATCTAAACAAACAAACAAAAAAAAGCTGAATTAAACTGAGTGCTTTTTGTACCCCAACTTCTACAATCCAGTTCTCTGTAACTTTCTGGCTGTGCAGGTAACTACAACCAATCTTTTCCCTCTTCACAAGACAGCCTAGTCAGTCATTGTGACTTCCCGGCTTTCTCAAAGTCTCCCAGGACATCCGAGGCTAAAGAGATTTTCCTCTCAAGACTACAAAGAAAGGGAAGTCCAAAGATACTGAGGATCCTAGGAAGGAGTCCAAGCTGCCCTTTTCTTAGTTTCTGGAACAGTAAGCCTAAGAATGCACTTACTGAGGAGAATCAAAACATTTCTCAATGGCTTCCTAAGGGAATTAAACTGAGAAATGTTTTGGGTATTTGGCTCTTCCCCTGATTCTGAAACATGATCCTAAGGGGCCCAAAAAATCTCCTTCAAAATGAATTATCACTGGTTCTAGCTATTTCAACCTACTCCCTTTCATCCTTTTCCCTTATTTTTATTTACTTGAAAGGCAGAGTTACAGAGAAGAGAGTAGGAGAGACAGAGAGATATTCCACCTGCTGGTTCACTCCCTAAATGGCCACAATAGCCAGGGCTGCAGCAGACTGAAGCCAGGCATTACATCCAGGTCTCCCACATGGGTGCAGGAGAGCAAGGACTTGGACCATCTTTTCCTGTTCCCCCAGGCCATTAGCAGGGGGCTGGATCAGAGGCTGAGCAGTCAGGACTTGAACCAATGCCCACATGGGATGTCAGTGTAGCAGGGGTGTTTTATCTACTAGAACCACAACAGCAGCCCTTCCACCACATTCTTGAAAATAAAACTATTACTTTGATTTGCTTTGTCCTATTAATTGGCCCCTTACTTCAGAAGTTGGAAAGCATATAGTGTAAAAAACACTACATTTACACAAGAATGTTCAGCAGGTTTATTCACACACAGAACACAGCAACCACAGAGAAACTCTTTTTCAAATTTAGAACATCAACACAAACAATAATGTCTTAATTCAACAAGTAGGAAGCAATGATCAAATCCAGCAGAAATAAAATTAGTCCATTTTTTTCTTCTAAAGTCACTGCAGGGGCCCAGCGTGGTGGCGCAGTGGTTACCTCGCCTTGCACGCCTGGGATCCCATATAGGCGCTGGTTCTAATCCCGGCAGCCCCGCTACCCATCCAGCTCCCTGCCTGTGGCCTGGGAAAGCAGTCGAGGACGGCCCAAAGCTTTGGGACCCTGCACCAGCGTGGGAGACCTGGAAGAAGTTCCTGGCTCCCGGCTTCGGATCGGCATAGCAACAGCCATTGCAGTCACTTGGGGAGTGAATCATCAGATGGAAGATCTTCCTCTCTGTCTCTCCTCTCTGTATATCCGCCTTTCCAATAAAAATAAAATAAATCTTTAGAAAAAAAAAGCCATTGCAGGACCAAAATATTAGTTCTGCTAAAAAGTAGAGGCACAAGACTTTGCAGGATAAAAACATCCTGACATACAGCAAGGAGCAGTACACTGTTTTAATAAAGGAACAAACAGTAAACATGTGAAACTTTAAGAACTGACTGGCAAAATACTTAAAAAGATGTATCTGGCTTTTACTGATGAAATTCACAATATTATACTAATGATAACAATACAGGCTAGCAGTAAGACAAGCCTGCCGCTTGCGGGAATGGAACTGTTTTCAAGGATATTTCCCTTAGCTGAGATTTAAAGCTAGTGTTTCCCGTTATCAAAATAAATCTGCTGTCCAAATATTATTGGTGATCCTAAAGGAGAGGTTTTGTGTTTCACCTTTGAAAAGTACCCGTTAGGAGCTGCCACATATTGGTATCAAATCACAAGCATATGATTTCGTCCAAGTCACCGTTTGAAAGGCTTTTAAGGCATTTATTCTCCTCGTAGTGTTTGTCTTTCAGCGTATCACTGCAGTGCGGGCCAATCACGTCCAGCATAGGCTAGAGCGAACGCTCGCATGACTGCACAGTTACATGGATTTTGAAGTATGGAAACTTCCTTCACCATTGCACCCAAGTCTGTGGCCTGCTGCTGCTTGTGTCCTGAGCCCAGAAGGCACAGGTTACACATCCCCTGCCTGAAGTGCTCAGGTTCAAAAGCGTTTCAGATTTGGAACATTTTTTTATTTTGAAACATTTTCATAGACTTCACTGGTTGGAAATTCTTTCTCTAAACATTCAAAATCTGAAACTTTGGATGTCATTTTACTACCAGTTTCAGATTTCACAGCATTTTGACATTCATACATTTGATTAGGAGATGCTCAGCTTGGGTATCTACCGCAGCTCAGGGTGAATACAGAGAACTCATTTCTTTGGCTTTTGTCAGAATATTAAACAGCTTGATGTTACTTACAATTCCAACGACACTGGTTGGAAATTGAAATGATTTTATAGAGTATTAGCTTGGCTTTATTTTTCTTCCTGTATTTTCATTTTACCTGAAAGGCAAAAAGATAGAGATGTTCAATTGGCTAATTCACTCGTCAGACGCACACAGCAGCCAGGCACTGGCCAGGCTGAAGCAGGAGTCCGGAGCACGTGCGTGGCAGGGATCCAAATGCTTGGACAGGTGTTGTTGCCTCCCAGGACTTTCAGTAGTAGGGAGTCGGTATGTAAGTAGAGGAAGCAGGACTCCAGAATGGGACACAGGTATCCTAAGGGGGTCTTCACACTGCACCAAATGCCTGCCTCATAGTATTCATTTTGAAATAAACATTGTTCTGTCTCACAACTTCAGGCTGAATTCATTAAGAAACATTATCAATCTACCACAAAAACCAAGCCTTAACCACGTGGTATTCAGCAGTGATTTGAGAGTGATTCCCTTCATGGAGAAAAAACTCACTGTCTGCCTTAGGCTCCAAAGCTTGCAATACAACCCTCACCACTACACCACCATCAGATCACCATACTGTCAAGCAAGAGAAGATACTCAAGGAACTGAAGGTGCATAAGTCCGCGGGAGCAAATATTGACACTACTGGTTCTGTGTCACATGACTAATTAATTACACAATGACTAGCCATAGACTCTAAGCATGCTACATTTTCACAGCTTTTTAAAATCTGTCCACCTGCTCTACACAACTGCTTATCACCCTGTTACATATCAGCAGATTCCAGTTCCATTTGTACAGAAACCATGTTTTCTCAAACTTTGGGAAATATTCTTGTCTACAGTTGCTCCACACACACTATTCATCAAGACTAATTCTCCAATAACGTCAAATTCAGCATTGACTTTTCAAATAAACAACAAATGAGCAGTATTGGTTACATCTGCCAACTCATCAAGAGCCAAGGAAAACCGCTCAAAATCATTTTTCTTGTTTTCTAATTGATTTTTTTTTTTTATTGGAAAGGTGGATATACAGAGAGGAGAGACAGAGAGGAAGATCTTCCATCCGATGATTCACTCCCCAAGTGAGCGCAACGGGCCGATACTATGCCGGTCCAAAGCCAGGAGCCTCTTCCGGGTCTCCCACGCGGGTGCAGGGTCCCAAAGCTTTGGGCTGTCCTCGACTGCTTTCCCGGGCCACACGCAGGGAGCTGGAAAGGGAAGCGGGGCTGCCGGAATTAGAACCAGCGCCCATATGGGATCCCCGGGCGTGCAAGGTGAGGACCTTAAGCACTGCACCCCCGCGCTGGGCCCTTAATTGATTACTGATGTCCTCAACTCCTTGAGCAACTGCTCTTGCCAAAAATCTAATAGTTTTAAACAAGTTTATTTTCTCCAGACACAATTCCATGCCTGCTGCAACCACGTGCGATTTTAAAGCTTACCATGCCTAAATGACTTCCTTGTCTGGCTAACAAATGAGCCACTCGAATATCTACTCTGAGTGCAGCCTCGTTTTTGTTTTGTGAAGAAATTCTGCTGAAATAAGATATTCCTTCCTCAGGTTTCTATTTTTTTTCTAACCGTTATTTCTCCTTGAGATGGGAATACTGAGATACATATTTTATCTACTGATGTTGGTAGTATTTCTTTAGCACAGGATTTTTTATTATGCAGTGTCACTAAATAATAAGCATCTAATTCAATAAGTCACACTCCACTGTGCTTTGGAAAGCGTAACTACCCAAATATATATTTGGATAGATACATATAACACAATATATAATTTTTATGTTATATATAACACTATGTATTATATTTATTACATTTAACACTATATAGAATATACGTGTGTGTATACATACATACATGTTAACACAAGGGGTAAAGATTGCTAAAAAAATTTAAAAAGCAACATACACAGAACTGCCATGTCTTTGCTATTGTGGATTATGCTATTATAAATACACAGCTGCAAGCCACTTTTTCATATGCGGATTTTATTACCTTTGGATATAGTCCCAGGACTGGGATGGTTGGGTCATATAATAGATCAATTTTCAGTTGCCGTAGCACTCTCCATACTGACTTCCACAGTGTTTGC